TTGGTACCAAGCCACCACTATACTTTTAATCAGCTTCACTTTGAATGTTCTCAAAAGTGAAGTACATGAGAATACTCTAAAATATATGAATTCCTCTACTATGATTAGGTCACAGCTCTACCACCAAAGCGTGGATTCCCCATCAAATTCTTATAGCCTTCAACAGTGATCCAACAGCTGCACTTGATTCTGGTGACATGGAGAAGTATGTTTTTCTATATTGTATCATTCTGGTGGTCTCACTTAGCAGCTTCATATAAAGATTAGACTACCTAATAGACATGGTTATACAGAACATTTCCAGTTTTTGGAATCAGCATATACATAGTGTGAAACCATCACATAGCCACCAACTTGTACCATGCACAGCTGGTGCAAAAATATGTATTTTATTGTTAATAATTTATTATTTATAAAAAATATTATATAAAAATTGGTGAGACACAAGTGTGCTAGCAAGATGGCAGTTACCTTACCTTCCTTCCCAGTCAGGTCAAGCAAGATTACTTCAGTCTAAAAACCTTACCTCCAGAACATGAGTGAATGGTCATCATCCATAGATAATTTCTCCAAGATGTCTGAAGCTGATTGCCTGTCATTATCTCAGCGTTTTATCTGGAAAGCAACCGGTTGATTACCTTTTATACCTGAGTTCCGGGAAGTCTTTATCTGAAGAGACTGTACTATCGCTTTTCATAACACCCTGCTCCTGCTCAGATAACCCCCACCTGCCATCCTTTCAAACCAGCCAGCCAAATTCTTCTGCTAGCTTTTGTAAGCCAAATGATTAAGACTGCATATAGTGGAACAGATTGACTCAAGCATTTATCTTTTTTTTTTTTCAGGCCTTGCCTATTGAAACCAATGATCCCATATATGACTAAGAAATGCTTTTGATACTGATCTAGGCTGTCTTCAAATACAGTGTTATATTCTGATTAGATACAAGAAACCACCTAAATGTACTGAACAATTTATCAGAGCAGATGGGCAAGAATTTCACTTCTATATCCACTAAGTACAATGGTAACCAAATGCTAAATATTACCACCTGGAATAAGTCTGCTGGACAACACTTTGAGGATACCGTGGTGGAGATAACATGTCATAGAATGAGCCAAACAGCTGGCCCTAATTATTGAAACAGCTCTCAGAGGTTTTCACTATAATAGCATTAAGCAAATGGGTTAGTGAGAAGCAATTACTTTTGGGGAAAGGGGGACAAGATGCATTTATATCTACTTCTTCTGCTGCTGCCCTGGCTATTGATACATAGGCACATGAATCTAGGGATTTTGCATTCCAAAATGATACTTCTGAGCCATTGGGATACTGATTCTATGTGTTATTCTAAGATTGCGTTTCTAATACTAGGCACCAATCTTCCACAAATTCTTAATATGCTTCCCATCTGCTATAACTGTTAGAAAACTGTATTTAAACAAACTATGATAGTTGAAAACTTTTGCATAAATAAATGATCATATCCATTTTATTTGGAAAAGATCTTCTATAGAACCTATGTTCAATATCACACCAAAATGGAGCACTGAGGCAGACATATTCACTATTTTGGTGAGAGCAACTTCATGTGGGATACAAATTTCCTTTTAGGGTGTCAAAGATTACTTGACACAGTCCATCTTGTAGCAAAAAGCTAGAATCTACAGCAGTTGGGCAGCGTTGTCCAAGAAACACTGTCCATGAAAGCCTTAACCAATATATTAGTCTGCTGGCACCTTTTGTGATTAACCAATTTTATTTAAAAGACATAAACTGTTTTTTTGAGCTGCAGCTCACTTCAAGAGATACATAAAGTGGTATTTAAATCGCAATGAGGTAAGGGAGGAAGAGAGAAAGAGGTGGTATTCAGCAGGTTCTGACCAGTTCTGGAGAACCGGTAGTGGAAATTTTGAGTAGTTCAGAGAACCAGCAAATCCCACCTCTGACTGGCCCTGCCCCCATCTATTCTCTGCCTCCTGAGTCCCAGCTGATCGGCTGGGTCTTCTTTTGTTGCCCTGCACAGGAGAATGGAGCTGGGAAGCAGGTTAGTGGGGTGGGGAGGGAATGGAGATTTTACAGTATCCTTCCCCTGCCATGCCTACCAAGCCACACCACACTCACCAAGCCACGCCTACTGAACCGGTAGTAAAAAAATTTGAATCCCACCACCGAAGAGAGAGGTTGGTTGTGCACATGAAGGTAACATATGAGACAGATTACATGTAGCCTGTCAAGTAGTCATAAGTCTCAATTGTATTCTGTCTCCTCAAGAAATTAGGAAGAGTCTGGTAGCACTTTTTCCAACTAATCAATTTTATTAAAAGCCATGAGCTTTTGTGAGCTGCCGTCACTTCATCAGATGCACAGAATGGCTCAAGTAGAAGAATTTTTAAAAATGAAGTTCTGCTGGACTGAATAAACAACACCGAGCAGGCTTCTCAGTTCCGTTTCCAACTGAACTCATTGCATGAGCCCTAAATAGGCACAGAAATCTAAAGTTCTGAAATAATATTTGTGGTTGAGGGATATTGCTAAGCAATTAGTGAATTATCCTTCTGCCTTAAAACAGATCATATTTTTTTAGCAGTCTCTTCAATTGAAGAGCCATGATATCTAATACTTGACTTATGATAACCGAACGCTTCCTCCATCTGTGCAGGCACACATACAATCATAAATGCTTTTAGTCTCCAAATAATATATCATTGAGGCTGCACCATGCTGTTAACTTGCACTGGCCTATATGATTCTCCTAATTTTACAGCGCTACTGAAACTACCTACAAAAATTTAACATAGTTGCAACAAGCAGTTTCCCTCACATGGATATCACTGTGGTTATTTATCCCACCTCCTCTCCCCCTGACTCCTGTTTCTTTATCCATTCTTGCTACATGGTAGATGTGAGCTCAGCTGCCTTAGCTAGTCTGGCGAGTTCTAGAGACAACCAGTTTAGAGAGCAAGCTTTGTGATGCACCCAAGGACATAAGAACTTGAGTAGGAAATTTAAAGGTTGTTTTTTTTTAAATAATTTCAGAATTTCAGTGTCTCTTTGTCTTTCTCAGTGTCTTTTTTGTTTTTTTCAAAGTCTTTCAGTTCATTGGAGCAAAACGACAAGGTTGTTGAAATGACACAAGAATTGAACACTCATGTGTGGCATGTCACAACAACTGATGGAGGAACACAAGCCACAGAGACATAGAGGAAGGGCGGGGGGGGGGGGGAATCTAAGCAAATATGCTTGATGAGAGGACAGTAATTTCACAGCAAGAGCTCACAGTAGGGAGCTATGGATATATACAACTTAGAACGTCAAACAATATTCTTAGAATTCTTTGTCACAGAGCATATGTCATTCTTATCCTCTTTTCTCGGAAAGCAATTTTAACTAGACTCCAGGAGAAGGGAATCTAGAAAAACAAGAAAAATCTATCTAAAGGGGGATTACACTGTGAGCTAGTGTTTTAGCTTGCAAGCCATTTCATGTTTAAAAATTATGGACTGCCACTGATTTGTAAGACACCACTGGCAAAATATTGTTTTGCTGGCCCCCTTCCCTTAAGAATTTTATAGGTAGTCTTTGGTTAACAACTGCCGTTTGATGACAGTTTGAAGTTATGATGGTGCTGAAAAAGTAACTGTTATGACTGGTCCTTGAACTTATGAGCATCACAGTGTCCCCACAATCACAATTGCCAATTTGCTGCCAGCTTCTGACAAGCAGTCAATGGAAGAATCACAAGTTACAACCAAATAAGTCAGAAGTCACAGCCATCTGATGTCTCACGTAAAAACTGCAGGTGATTTGCTTAATGATGGAACTGATGGTGTAAGTCCTGTGTGGTCACATGGAGTTTCATTTAATAATTCCTTCACTTAGTGAAGGTGTTGTGAGTCCCAACTGTGGTTGTTAAGTGAGGAAGATTACCTGCATTTGCTACTCTCTTAAATTGAGACAACAGGCCAGTGATTAAGACTAGACAGGAAGTTTGGAATAAGCTTTAACTCAGAAACCAGTGGATAGAGGGATGCTTTGTTGCTTTGTAGAAAGATGACTCTATGCAGCTCATATTTGTTAGGATGAGCTACCTGGAACTGCAGCAATATGCACACCAAGCACTGATAAGTTTAAGATTGTGCAATGCATATATATAGTTTATCAGAACTGATATACAGCACTTCTTTTGCAAGAAGTGAAATCTGATGTAACTGAGCACACATGGTTGGTGTTCAGAATGGCGAATCGATTGTTCTGGTACCCCCCTCCCCATGCTATGGCACTTTTGTGCAATGCACAACTTGCACACCTGCTTGCAGAGATCCTGATCACACTACCAGATGGCAAATGCCTGAAAAATATTCTTTGAATTAATGTCAGCTCCTTCCATACCCCATTGTGGTAGTACTGACAGCATGAAGGAAAAGAGAAACGTCATGTTTTATTTATTTTTTAATCCTGGAGCACAGGCAAGCAGCCCAGCATGACACTTTGAAACCTATTGTACACTGTGTGCATTAGCTCAACTGAATCAATGGATAGAAAATGTGCTTTAAGGCAATATTTGTTCTCGGTCACAATACTTTGTGTTTTATTTTTTATTTGATTTGATTTGTCAATCGCTTACAAGATAATAGGTATAAATATAAACATGAGTAAGAATACAGGAAAGAGGTACGAATAAATGGGGACAATAGGACAGGGGCGGTAGGCACAACTGTACACTTATGCACGCCCCTTACAGACCTCTTAGGAATGGGGTGAGGACAACAGTGGATAGTTTGAGGTTAGAGGCATGGGGGTTTTCTTCTAGTTTCTCCGTTTCTTAGACTATCCCCAAACATGTTTTGCACGGCCCTGCAAGCATCACAGCACTATGGGACGTATATTTCTGCACCTGTGTTAGCGACGTTTATATTGTTAGACGTCTTGTGCTTGTATTTGCTTACAACGGGGTAGGGAAGCAAGTCGTTTATGGTGAGGGTGCCAAGACAATTTTACGTGACGTTGCAGCAGAGAATCGGCCTCTGAAATGAGGACTCCCACCACCGCCTCCTCCAAACGAAGTTGCCCTATTGGCTACTGAGCCAGGACGGGACGAAAGCGGCCGAACCTGAAACCCAGCAGAGCCGAAATAGCTGAGCGACCGAACCGGGCAGCCCATCTCTCTGCATATTTGCCATGTGGGTTTTCACCCCTCCTCACGATCTCGGCCCAAGTTCCACTGGGTTTTTTTAGGGGGGGGGGAATACCCGAACACGCACCGATGACCTTATAAAGCCACAGGCAGACGAGCCTCTCGAATCCTGTGCCCCCTCCTCCCGTTTTGACACGAGCAAGGAACACTTCCTCCCCGGGGCACCGCGTGGAAAACGCGCTTCACTTTCTCCAGGTTGAGCAGATCCTGGAGGCGAGCGAAAGCGGCGGCGGCGCCAACGGGCTCCGGCAGCGCTGAATCGCCTCCTTCTCCGCGGCTCGCAGGGGAGGATCCGACCTGCCGCCCGCCCGCTCCCGGGGCAGCCCCGCTGGCAACGCCTTGAACGCTCGGAGGAAAAGACGCGCCTTCAGTTCAGCCCCGCCAAAGGGCTGGAGCCGAAAGTGAGTTGATTGAACTTGGGGGACAGTTTGGAAAACCGGGGCTGGAAGGAAGGCTTAAATAGGGGCAAGCGGGGTGGGGGTGGGGGGTGGGGTGGCCCGAGGGGGCGTAGGCGATCGGGGGAGGGGGGGTTGCCCGAAAGTCCTCTTTGTATGGCTTCACTCCCTTACTAAGCAGGGCTCTGGCCTCCACGTGGCAGCGGCCGCAGCTCCCTCCAGCTTGGGCTGACTTGGGTGGAGGGCGAGCTCTGCCAGCCATGTCTTGGCGCTTGCCCCTCGTGGCGTTTTAAGATTTGCTCGAGTTGGGAAATGAGGCCGCCTCCCGGCCTGCCCTAAGGAGGGAAGACAAAAAAAAAAAAAAAAAAAGGGGGGGGGGGAAGGGGGTGAAGCGGGGTGGGGGGAGGATCGCCCAAGTGGGGAAAGGAAGGGACGAGTTGAAAGGAAAGATTCACGGGTGGCGATTATAACGCATGTGACGAATTGGGATGTCCACAGCGGCCTGCCTCCTCCTCCTCCCCCCCTGCAGATTTTGGGGTGTGCCTAAGGATAATAAAAGAGGGTCACAGGAGAGGAGGTGAGGAACGAGTACAGGATTTGCTAACCCCGCTTATGGCTGGAGTACAAACTGTGGGAGCAGAGGGCTCGGCTGTTGCATAGTTTGGCATTCAGAAGAAGCCAGGGGGGTCTCAGGCCTCAAACTTTGCTTGACTTGTGCTTCCCTTCCAGCTTCTTCCCTAAAGATCTCTCAGAAGTTTGCAGAAAGAACTTGACTGGGCTAATATTGGATCTGCATAATTGGTGAGGAAACTGTAGATTTCTAAAGAGCACCTTTACACTCTTTAACGACTGAGTACCGTTTTTGTTCACCACCTCTAGACTTTCATAGTTTAAATTCAAATCTGTCTGTTGCCTGGAGCACTTTGTGTTCCTTCTCTCTGTTAATTTTGCCTGATATTTTCAGATCAAAAGCTTATCTGTGTTCAGATTAAACTGTAGCCAGCCACGCAGGGGTGAAGGGATTTGGGGTGTTTTCTTTCCATTATTGGTAGCTGAACAGAATCATAGTTGTATGTGCGACCACCATACAAGTGTGATAACCCTCTTCGTAGATTCACATGCAAAGGAGAGATTCCCGAGACTTAATTTTAAATTTGCCACATATGTAACTTTCACTGAATACAAATCACACATCTAAGCCAAATGTACTGGTGTTCTTGGTGTTCTCTGAGCTTGATTGTTGTCTTGGAGAAGTTTCATAACCCAAACTGGTTAATATCAGTGCTAGCAGGGAATGGGGTTTACCTGACTGCCTACTAGCACTGATGATGTTACCCAGTTTGGGTTATGAACGATCTGCAAGAAAACAACCAAGCTCAGAAAAAGCATCAAGAACCTCTCATTTCAACCCTGAGCTATAAATATTCTTCTGTATGGGTACTATTTTATCCCTGCTAAATGATCTGTTCCTGATCTTTCCAGGTGATCAGCCTTGGGGGGGGGGGCAGTGAAAATATCTGCATACCTAGTCAAGAAGGTCCAAGAAATGGTTAATTGGCCAAAACTTGAGTTATAGATGAGATGGGGTTTAATGGATGAATCCTAGTCTACCAACAGTTTAATAGTTGACATCAGTGACAAGTAGTCACTAAGACCAGCAGTCTTACAGTACAAACCTTGCTTTTAGTGGTCACAAGCAAATTCTCTGCCCCTAAAAGTCTGTAGACTCAGTTGTCAAGTGCCTGGACTTTTTGTTATCAGGGACTGGTACTTGGGTCCTTTTGAACCCCCCCCCCCCACCCGCCTTGATTTCTGTCAGGGACTACCTGTAGCAGCGCATCCCCAAAATGTTTGGTCCAGATCTCCAAAGTGGCTTATCCATACAAAAGACTGTCTCTGTACAGTCTTGGCTATTTCATAATAAAGGGAGTCCTTGGTTATCTCTTCACCATCCATTGCTCGGTTTCCTGCTTCTTCCCCAGAGGTTACTCTCATCTTATCTTATCTTATTTTGCCTTGTTTTATCTTATCAACTCTCTACAGCTCCCAGAAACAACTACAGGCTTCTGTTACAGAAGCAGAACAATACAAACAAGACTCACTATTTTATAATAGTTACATTGTTCATCTGCCAAACTTGAAGTTACACTAAGGCAGTCAATGACCCAACACATTTATCATGACAACTCTGTGTTTTTTCATGGATTGCCAAGAATAATGTGGTGTGAGGGGGAAACTTAAATTGCATCCCTCAAATAATAAATAATAAAGGTAGATTTGCATTGATATCCTACTTAGGCCTGCTCAGAAGTAAGTTCCTCTGAGCCGTGCTTCTAAATAAATATGTATTGAATTTCTGCCTGAATAATGCATAAAGATAAGTGGAAATTCAGGGAGCCATATTAAAGATCTAACGATTTGTAAGGCTCTGTCACACACTTTGCAGGTATGGAATATGCACAATATCAGAAAGCTCTAGATCCTTGTTTTTCTTGAAAGAAATCATCAAACAAGATTTCCATTTAGATAACTGATGGTTGGTATCAACTGGAAAAGATTAGTTTAATTCTCTTCAATGGTTTCATTAAAGAATGGTATGCACAGTTGCAAATATAGTATTGCTAAACACCAGATGATCAGCTGAGTGTTATGAAAGAGGTCTGTTAGGATAGCCTAACCTTTCCATCCGGTGGCCTCTAAATGTGTTGGACTTTAATTTTTATACGTAGTTTTCAGCGCACAGAAAGTTTTACCAGTTTTAACAGAATGGAAATCTGGAAAGTACAGTACAGGTAGTCCTTGACCTATGATTGGGTTGCAAATGTTCAAAGTTACATTGGACCGCCCCCCCCAAACTACTTATGACCCAATTTTAGTTTACAGTGATCACACACACATATACAGCAGTCACATGATTGCATTTTGGGTGCTTGGCAACTGCCTCATGGTAGCTTGCAGGATTTTACATTTAGAATAGAACAGAACAGAACAGAACAGAACAGAATAGAATAGAATAGAATTCTTTTATTGGCCAAGTGTGATTGGACTCACAAGGAATTTGCCTTGGTGCAAATTCTCTCAGTGTACATAAAAGAAAAGATACATTTGTCAAGAGTCAAGGATTATCAGGTACAACACTTAGTGATAGTCATAGGGTACAATAAGCAATCAAATCATACTAGGAAACAGTCAATATAAACTGTAAGGATACAAGCAACAAAGTTACAGTCATACAGTCACAAGTGGGAGGGGATGGGTGATAAGGAGTGATGAGAAGATTAATAGTAATAGTAGTGCAAACTTTGTAAATAGTTGGACAGTGTTGAGGGAATTATTTGTTTAATTTAATTTATGGCTCTTGCAGCATCCTGTGGTCATGTGACTGATTTTCATTTTCTTTTTGCTAATTTCTCGCACTTACTAGCAAACAACATTTGTTGGGTAAAATAGATTTGCTCAACAACTATAGTTCACTTAACAATACCAAACGATATGGTATTTGCTTAATGACCACTGCAAAAAAGTTGTAAAATCAGATTTGGTCATGAAATGAGCTGCTTAATGACTACAACAACTTACAGCTGTATTTCCAGGTTCAATTATGGTAGTAAGTCAAGGACTGTGCAACTTTTTAATATTCTACATTATTTCTATAACTTGACCTGATTGTTGAAAGTTTTAGGTCTGAATCTGAAACTTGTATCAAAAGACTTTTCATCTTTTGTGGAACATAGCACCAAAATACATCATTTTCTGGTTACCCTACTTATTCAATTAAGGGATATTCTGATTTATTACAGGCAAAATGTTTTTATAGAATAGAGAATTTTGTCCACGTTTTCAGTTGTTTCACTTCATTTTGTAGGAAATGAAATGGATTTACATTTTTTCCTCCATGAAGGAAAGAAAATCCTTTTAAGGGTACATTTTGTAATTATAAGATGGCCAAGAATTAAGCATAAAGTGATCATTTCCATTGATATGCAGCATCCCAAGTTGTATAGAGTTCAAATAATGACACCATGAAGAGATTCCATGGCACTTTTTACACTTAGGATATATGGCAACCATGGAAGCAGATCCCCCAAAGTTACAAGAACTCTCTAACTAACATCTCATAGTAACAAAGGATATTCAGATACCACTAAAGATATTATAAAAAAACAGCAACAACAAAAGAAGAAGTATAAAACAGAACCCTCTTTTTCTGAGGTATGGAAATAATCTTTTAGGAAAGTGGAAGGCGGATTTCAGTGAAGTCTTAAAATTGTTGCAGAAGAATCCGTTTTTCGAAAGGAAGGGGGAACAAAAGTAAAATTACAGTTTAATGCATTCTCTAATCCAGATCAAAGTAATGGGCATCGAATATAAAACACCTGAGCATTGCAGAGCATAGAACCCAGTTAGAGCACTGCTTGTGTATTCCATCCTCTGTCGTTTATAAAACTAGTGACTCATCACACTACAGCCACACAGGCATTTGGCCCAGTTTTCCAAATTTGACATTCACACCTTTTAGGATTTGCCTGCATTTTTCTAGGAAGGGAACTTGGCCATCCCTACTCCACTAGCACTGTGCAGGGTATAGTCTCTGGCTTCCAGTGTTTGACAACACATTCCTGTAATATGGATTCTTAAACATTTCAAGTAGCAGCTGCTTTTTGGCACTGGATACTTTTAAGTAACATCTGTCTTGAAGGTTCCTTCTTTTTTTTTTTTAGCGTTGCAGTCTTGTTTCTTCCAGTTTTCCCTTCTTTCTGGTTTAAGAGCTGTCAGCATCTCTTTCTCTTCCCCTATTGTGCTTGTTTACAAATGTTGCTGGATCTGGTGTCATTTCTGAATTTCATTACCAAGCTGTTTACTTCCCATTCTGCCTCATTACGTAAAGCACTAAACCAATCAAGACCCACCTTATATCTCTGGAACTTCAGAAATATTAGCCCCAAAACAAATGTTCAAAATGAAAAACCTAACATTCACAGTTCAGGAAGTTGGCACAGCTTTAGCAAAATCAAAAGTTTTGTGCCAGGACAATCTGACTTTTGCATGTTTAGGTTATACATTTACATTTTTAAGTTCTCTGTTGACATTTGAGTTTTTTGGAGGCACTTCTGTAACTTTGCCTCCGAGGTAGGTCTTTAACCTGGAATGTCCTAATTTACTTCGGCAGCCTCTTTCGGGTTTTAAAAATGAATGTTTAGATTGCCACCCTTGATTTAGATAAATATTCATACCCTTTTCTCCAAGAGACACTGCTTATTGAATGTGATTTCTTCTTCCACATTGTCCCAATAATCTCCTGAGAGAGGCAGAGTATTTCAAGATCATTCAGTAAGCAAGTGGGGGAATTTGAATTCATGGCATATATATCTTTATGTCAGTACTCCAATTGCTACATTAGAATGGTTCCCCTTGAGCTAAAAACTTCATGCATGATCCCTTTTTGACCTCAGTGTAATTCTTTCTCAAGGTTGTTCTATGTGGACTTGTCAAAACTACTTCTGATATAAATAAATTGTAAGCTTTAGTGAACATATGTATACAAGTCAGCATCTGCACTATAGCTGATGAAGTCCACATATAAGTGATTTTCAGAAAATAAACACACTAAAAAAGCGTATAGGAGCATGTTTTTTTTTTTAAAAAAAGAAGTGGTATTTGAAATATCCTTGCAGACAAAAAAGCAAGCAGGCTTACTCTTGGCCTGTGATAGACAATTTCAAGCAGAAAACGAGCAAATTGGCTTGGGCTAAATTTTGTCCAGCAAGCAAGGAACAAGATCTTTCATAGTATATGAAACTCCACAGTGGCATTCTAACCCAGGCATGTAAAGGAAGGGATATATATTGACATTTCCATGGGGCAGAGTTTGCCACCCCTCGTCTGCATCGTTTTATCTTATATTTTATCTTCCTTTTTGGTCATGAAAAATGAAAGGGTGAAGGGGAAGGTGGCAACTCACAAAACAGATGGAGGCTCCAATCATACACGTGCTTCTGCAGGGAGGGAGCTGCAACCTCTCTGTGGCTCCTCCCCTGTGAGTGGCAGCAGCTGCCAGGCTGCCCTTGTTTAACTCCAGTAGCTACAAGTCAACTGATTGTGTGGCTCAAACCTCTGTCAGAAGAAATCCTAGCAGCTGTTTGCCCTCAGGCTAATAGCTGGGCCAGCAATTAAATAGTTTTCAATGTTATATATTCCCCCTTTTATAGTATTTTGCTGCTAGGTCTTGCTTTCCAGGATATAGTAGTCGACAAATACCATGTTTCCCCGAAAATAAGATCCTGTCTTAATTGTTTTTGCCACCAAAAAAGGCACCAGGTCTTATTTTCGAGGGATGTCATCCACTGACTAACCTCACTTGCGTGCGTCACCCTCGGCCTCCTTTTCTGTGTTAGAGGCCTTCAGGAACTTCTTCTTCTGTGGCTGACAAGGCTGTCCTGAAGGCCTCTGCAGCCAATAAAAGAGCCATGGATCGATTCAGAGCTTTGTTATCAGCTACAGAGGCCTTCAGGAAAGCTTTGCCGGTGTTGCTGGCTGCAGAAGAAATGGGCAGGTGTCGGGGTGTGCGAGGCCTGGCTGCAACTATCCAAAGGCAAGTAGTAGGGCAGCTCCACCCCCCTCCCATCTCCACCCTAGCTTAATTTTTACCAGTACAATCTGGAGTGGGCGGGATCTTAATAAGGGCTTATTTTAGGGGTAGGGCTTATATTGGGTGCACGTGTAAAAATCAAGTTAGGACTTACTTTCAGGGTAGGGCGTATTTTAAGGGAAACAGGGTATTAACACCCTAATATAGTGCCAAGCTGGAGTGCTGCTTCATTACTTGTCTAGATTTTTAATAACTCCAGTGAGTTTGGAAGAGTTTTGTATCCCATTATTTAAAAATAGGTATCTCCTGCTATCAGATCTGCCTATTGTTCCATCTAATATAGGCAATGATGGACAGAGATCTACGGGATTTACTTCTTAACCCTTTTTGAAGGGAATAGAAATTGAACTTGGACCTTTAGCATGTGGCACAGTGGTTAGAATGCAGTACTGCAGGTTACTTCTGCTGCCTGCTGGCTGCCTGCAGTTTGGCAGTTCGATTCTCATTGACTCAGCCGTCCATCCTTCTGAGGTTGGTAAAATGAGAGCTGAGGTTGTTGGGGGTAATATGCTGACTGTGTAAATCGCTTGGAGAGGTCTGTAAAGCACTGTGAAGCAGTATATAAGTCTAAGTGCTATTGCTATATAGTAAGTGTCTTACCACTGAGATAGCTCCTGTATATCTTACCTGTAATCTCCAGATCAAAATCAGTGGAATAGTAAATAAGACCTGGGTGCCAAGAAAGATGATGGTCTTGTTTTGTTTGTAGCCTCCTCTAACAAGCCAGAGGGAAGATGGCACCCACCTTGCATCAGGCATACCGGCGACGCTGGTGGATGGCCTGTACTGCGGTAGTGGAAAATCTCTTTTTCTCTGCGGTTTTGCTGGGCTGGGGCTCCTTACTCATTATGTTCAAACTTGAAGGCTTCTACTCCCATATGTGCACAGGTGAGTAGGATGGGATCTGAGCCTATTAGGTAAGATAAAATGGTATGATGTGGATGTGGGGTGGTTGCAGGTGATATTCTGAGCAAAGTGTTGCACTTTCCATTCCCAAGAATCCTTGTTTGTCATCACTAATTCTGTACTTACCAAAACATTTGCCGATGAAGCAATTTGGGTCCTATTATTAAGGCCTCAATGGGGACAGAATTAAGAATGAATCTGACAGAACGTTGATTAGTAACTTGTACTAATATTATGTACTTGATAGAAAGTTGAGAGGGGAACTCAATACAAATGGATTCAGCAACTTCAGCCTTGGGGTCTGTCATTCTTATGATTCTTCCAAGGTTTCTACACAACACTTCAATATATGA